CATAACGCAGATTGTTGATAAATCGTCCACCAATCCTGACCTCACATTTCTCCTCATAGAGCCCAGCCTCCCAGATAAGGGTTAAACAAGGCTGTTCCTTGGAGGCAAGAATTCTGAAGCCTTGTCTGACAACTTTGGACATGTTCCAAGTGGGGGACCAGCCCTTGGAGAGGGACATCATGCTTGGGAGGGTACAGTGCAGGACAGGAAGACCCTCTAGGAGATGGATTGATTCAGTGACTGGCCTTGTGGGGAGGGTATGTGTGTCAGAGACAATGATATTGGCATGGGATAGAGCAGGGTTTAGGGCTGTTGCACATAGGGTCGTTATGGGTCACGTGACTTGACAGCACATAACAACATCAGTACAGTTACACTAAACACCAGAAAATAAGAAAGTAAATATCAGTGTATGTGTGTGAATATATTTTCTAGCACCATCCACTGAGAGGGTCTAAAAGCAGCAACATCCCGGTTGTATTGAGCACACCGTGCTCTTAGATCTTGACTTTTAAATACTCTTCTTCAAGAAAAGGAACTGTGGTCCTTGAAGTCACTCTGGTGGCAGAGTCCCAAGGATGTTGTGTGACTAACTAAAAAGCCATGGTCTCTGGCATTTTTAATGCACCAGCAGATCCCAGGGAGAAAGCTGGGCCGCCCTCTTCTGTTAGGATTTGCAGTGTTGGAAACCTGATTCAGGATCAGAATCTGTGAGTCAGAATCAGTTTGATGATAGTGAGGGATTTTGGTGGAAGATCTATCAACAATCTGCGTTATGCAGATGACACAACCCTGCTTGCTGAAACTGAGGAAGACCTCATGAACTTACTGCAGAGGCTCAAGGACTGCAGCCTTCAGTATGGATTGAGGCTCAATGTCAAGAAGACAAAGATTCTCACCACTGGACCAATCGGTAGCATCAGGATGGATGGCGAAGAGATTGAGATTGTTCACAGCATTAGTTTGCTCAGCTCCATGGTCAACACTCTTGGCACCAGCAGCCAGGAAATCAAAAAACATATTGCAATGGGAAAGTCTGCGGTTAGGGAACTCTCTGAAGTACTCAAGAGCAACCGTGTCTCTCTGGAGACTAAGGTGCGCCTGATACAGGCCATGGTCTTTGCAATCACTTGCTATACATCAGAGAGTTGGACACTGACTAGGGAGGATAGAAGGAGAATTGACGCCTTTGAGCTGTGGTGCTGGAGAAGAGTATTGAATGTACGATGGACTGCCAAGAAAACAAACAGATCCATCCTAGAGAGGGTTAAACCAGGCTGCTCCTTGGAGGCAAGGATTCTGGGGCTTCGTCTGACATACTTTGGACATGTTGTAAGGAGAGACAGGTCCTTGGAGCGGGACATCATGCTTGGTAGGGTAGAGGGACAGCACAGGAGGGGAAGACCCTCTATGAGATGGATTGATTCAGTGACTGGGGTAATCGGGATGGGTGTGTCAGAGGCAATGTGATTGCCACAGGATAGAGCAGGGTTTAGGGCTGTTGTACATAGGGTCGCTATGAGTCGCAAATGACTCGACGGCACATAACAACAACAACATACTCCAACAAACAGGTTCGGCCTGCAGAAGGTGAAATCAGGCTGCTCCTTGGAGACAAGGATTCTGAAGATTTGTCTGACATACTTTGGACATGTTCCAAGCAGGGACTGACTGGTCCTTGGAGAGGGACATCATGTTTGGGAGGGTAGAGGGACAGCGCAGGAGAGGAAGACCTTTGATGAAATGGATTGATTCAGTCACTGGGGCAATGGGGTATTTCGGAAACAGTGAGATTGGCACAGGTTAGAGCAAGGTTTAGGGCTCTGGTACATAGGGTCACTATGAGTTGCAAAAGTCTCATCAGCACATAACAACAACAACTCCAAGGAAAAGTAGTTTATTTCAGCTTTTTGTTGTTAGATGCCATGAGTTGAGTACAACTCATAGCAACCCTAAGAACAACAGACCTGAACTCTGTCCTTTCTGTGCCTTTCTCACAATTTCCCACACACTTGAGCCCACTGTTGTAGTCACTATGTCAGTCCACCTTGTTGAAGATCTTCCTCCCTTTCACTGCCCCTCCACCTTTCTAAGCTCTCCAAGGAATATCTCCTCTTAGAAACATGTCCAAAATAAGAGAGACAAAGATTCATCATTTTTGCTTCCAAGGAGCACTCTGGCTGCATCTTCTCCAAGACATTATCTGTTTGTTCTATTAGGGCAGGGAAATGCAAGATGAGGCTGAAGTGTTAAAAAGTGGAGGGGGGGGGTGTTAAAAAGGTAGCTTAATGAGAGGCTGTAGGAGCCAAGCTGAAAGAGCTTCCGGTGGCAAAGCTGGGGTAATTGGACTGAAAAGACGAATTTGGATTAGAGAGTTGTGGTGGCCTGATGAATAAGTAGATTGCTCTGTTAAGCCAAAAATACAAGATTCAAATTCACCTGCTACTTCACAGGAGAAATATGGGCAATCTTGTCCTATCTTTACAGCCTCAGAAAGTCCACTTGGAGAGTCAACTATGAGTCTTCCAATTTGACAGCATTGGGAGAGAGAGGTAATACCAGATTATAACCCATAGAATAAAATTAATTTATGTGAGATCCTTCTTATAAAAATAAAAAATTGAAAACATAAATAAATGGGAGGGACAGTCAGCCCTTCCTTGTAGAAGAATTTCTATTAGTAAACATAGTAGGAATTGAGGGAGTTAATGGTCACCAACTGGCAAATATCATAGGAATACAGCAACAAGAATGCCTGTTGTGGATGCTGAAATTAGGAGGGAAAGAAGGATATTTGAATAATCAGAAGGTATTTTTCCCAGGATATTTATTCTGAAGGGAAAGGGAATAAGTTTACAATTAAGAAACCTGGCACAGACCACTTTAACCAGATAATCAAGGTGAGCATTAAGACACATGGATTTCAGGTTCCCCTGTAGAGTGCACTGAGAAGGTCACATCATTTCTGTGGTATTGATGGGGGGGGGGAAGGTGTGACCTCAATTAATAATAAGAAACACTAGACAAACCCAGATTGAGGGGCATTAGGTAAAATAATTGACCAGTATACTTCAGAGTTGCCAGGAACATAAAAGACATACAGTTTGGATGAGACTAAAGAGGCTCAACATCCAAATGCTACATGAGAACCTGGAACGTTTGAAAAGGGACATTAGTGGAAAAAGCCGGAATAGTAACTGTGTACCCGCTCTGGTGGCCCAGAGGTACAAAGCTGCAGTGTAATCTCAAAGGCACATGAGTCAGATCCACTAGCTGCTCTGCAGTGGAAAGATGAGTCTCCTCCGGTGCAGTTCACTGCCTCGGAAAGCCCGCTGGAGGATCAGCTATGGGTCAGTTCAGACTCTGGTAAACACCACCACCACCACCAAGACTCCTCTGAACTAGGGAGCTTTTGTGGCCTAGTGGTAAGGAGTGGCATTGGCAGTGGCACACTGGTATGCAGTTCGAATACACCAGCTGCTCTGAGGAAGAACGATGGGCAGTCTCCTCCCATGTGATTACACTGCCTCTGAAAACCTGCTGGAGGCTCAGCTATGGTTTGGTTCTGACTTGACTGCATGCAACAAACATCTCCTTTTAACTTACTTAGTTTATCTGACATATTTTGTTTACAACAGTAGTAAAAAACTTACTGTCAAACTATGTTGTTCATTAACAATGTGTGCCTGGAAATAATGAACAATAAGGTGCAAAGCTAGAGTCTGTGATGATTTAGTTGATATATGGATCATGATTCTGAGCTGTCTGTGGCAGTTCTATAATGATGTAGTTATCCTCCATTTTTATAATCTGATGTGGTCATCTTCCGTTTTCAAATAATACTGACTTTTACATATGACTTGTAGTTTATTCCTCTTAAATAGAAATAATAATCCTCATATTACTTGCGGTGTTGTAATGATCATGTTTGGAAAGGTGCAGGATGAGCAAAGGAGAGGAAGCCCCTCAACTAGATGGATTGCCAACCAGATGATTGCAGCAGTGGGCTCATGTGTGTCAGAGACACTGAGGATGGCACAGGGTAGGTCAGGGTCCAGATCTGTTGTTCATAGCGTCACTATGAATCATACTTGACTTGATGGCACCTAACAAGGATAGAGTAAGTTACTGTTCACTTAGTACAAGCCAGGTACATTGGATTACCATCTACTGTAATACTGGTATATGGTAAGCACTCATATGGTAGTGACTTTCATTAACACTACTCTTGATTGCCTTAAAATATTGTGTACTAAAAAAAAATATTGTGTACTTAGAATACATATGAATAATGTGTGACAATCTTTTTGTGTGTGTGTTTTTTTTAATTATTAAATTTTATTAGTTTTAATGAACATTTACAGGGATTTTGGGTTTTCATTCCTTCATTGCTGCACCATTCTCTCTACCCTCCTCCCCAGTTTGTTCTTCTTCCCCGCCATCCGAATGTCTGTTTTAATTGTCCAATTGCCACAGTGCTTGCCAAAGTCAGTTCTGATTAATCTCCTTTGTCGGTGTGTCCTTTGCCATTCCCTATCACTCCTCCCTGAGAGAGACTTCACCCTGATTCATAAGGAAAAGGGGATGGCGTATTCTCTTAGCTACTTCCTGCTGAAAAGGGACGCTGTGGGTTTCAGGGTGAAGATCTTCTCTCATTACTCTAAAGGGCCCCTCTGGCAGTAGGAAACACATAGACTATTATGGAGATTGATTTTGGAATTTAGATGCACTCTTATTGATTGTGCTTGGCCGTACATGTTCATATCCTTGAAGATGTATCATGGGGGTGTTGCAACCTAGAAGACACAAATTTGACTAACAAGTTATAAGTACATGAGTCAAAAATGATGGAAAAGTAAAAGAAAAGATTCATTGTTTTACAAACCCTCCCCCAGATCCCCTCCACCATGTAGCCCTCACTCTAGACTCCTCTGATGACAGAAATACCTAGTCATATATCTCTTTAAAACAGTTTTCTCCCTCCTCTGTTTCAGTGCAGTATACATTATTGAACCCATCTTACTCAGTCTCTCTCCAACCCCAAGGACAGTCCCATTCTACAACAGTGGCATCATGTAATATTTGTCCTTTTGTGACTGGGATATTTCACTCAGCATAATGTTCTCCAGAGTCAACCATTTTGAATAATATTGCATGAGTTCCTTGTTTTTTAATGCAGCATAGTATTCCATTGTGCGAATATACCACAGCTTCTCTAGCCATTCGTTTGTTGATGGGCACTTAGGTTGTTTCCAACTCCTTGCTATTGTGAACAAAGCTGCAATAAACATGGGTGTGCATATATCTGCTTGGATGTCAGCTATGATCTCTTCAGGGTATATTCCCAGTAGTGGAATTGCTGGGTCAAATGGTATCTCTATTTGCAACTTTTTGAGAAAGCGCCATACCGCCTTCCACAAGGGTTGCACCATTTTACACTCCCACCAACAGTGAATCAGGGTTCCAGTTTCTCCACAACCTCGCCAGCATTTGTTGCTTGATGTTCTGTTAAATTTTGCTATTTTTGACTGGGGTGAGATGATATCTCATAGTTGTTTTAATGTGTGACAATTTTTATTTCAGATCCTATGCTAGATCTGGATATTCAAGAATTAGCCAGTCTTACCACTGGAAGAGGAGATATGGAGAACTTTGAAAGACTATTTTCAAAGTTAAAAGAAATGAAAGGTAATCAACTTCTTAGTGTCTAACGTGTTCTCCTCTTGAGGCTTGTCTCCTCTCTATACCAAGATTTTACTTCATAACTGCTGGATTGAATCTCATGCCTTGGTCTTCACTATCTCAAGAAACTTAGCTACTTGGGGAAGTTTGCCTTCGTCTGTTGGTTAAAATTTCCTGGGGAGAATTTTCTTCCTTCTTCACGCTGTTTATTTTTTCCTGCTTTTCTTACTGCTGTTTCTGTCAGTGTTTTCATTAACATGGAGTCAGTGAGATCCCTACCAATTTACTCACATCATTACCATCTGGGAAATTTGGAAGACTTAAGCTTCCTAATAGCTGTAATGACTAAACCATAAACATATGTCTTTGAAACCCATCTTCCATCTTCAAGTGTTAGAGAACATTCATACACACCAGATTCTCCTGTGCTGTTAGACAAATTTCTTAAGATATATTTTCCCCCTAGACAAGGCTGCGACGCTTCCTCACGAGCAAAGAAAGTTGCATGCAGAAAAGGTGAGACAACCAGTCAGCTGTTTATTGAGTATCTGCCAAAGGTCCAGTGATCAAATAATTATATAACTTTTTTTTTCACTTTGAGAGGTTTTTAGTATGAGATTTTACTGTCTTTTAACTTACTGAATATTTATATAATAATAATGCAGTTGTAGCATTCAAGCCAGGCGTTTTCAAATGGGACTTTAGTGACATGAAACTTTCATTTAGATTCAGGAAGGTTTGATTTTTGTTGGACAGAAAAAAAATCAGACTTTTTAAATTAAAAAAAATATATTACTAATATATAACACCTGTTCTTGGCAAGCAACATCTATGAAATTTATTCCATCATATGAATATGTTGTTATTTATCTACTAGATAATTAGGTTATGTGTGTATTTTGCTTCCATAACTAAAGAGCAGTGGCTGTAGCATTTGCCTGCTAACTAAAGATTCATAATTCAAGTCTCCTGGCACTCCGCAGGAGAAAAATGTGGCATTCAGCTTCTATGAAGATGGTAGCCTTTAGAAACCCTATAAAACAGTTTTGCTCTGCCCTAAATGATTACTATAAGTCAGAATTGGCAGTGGGCTTGTTTGGGATGGGATATCTTTATAAATCCTCTTAGTGTACATCTGTGGTTCTGTCTTGAGGATACATTTCTAGAAGTGGAAGTCTTCAACAGACATTATTGAGGGCTGGAGGGCAAGGTGTAGAATGCCAAGTCTTAATGAGTTTAAAAAGTATGGTATGTCACTTAGCCATTGCATAAGACTTGCTATATACTTTTCTCCACAGGTGGCCAAAGCATTCTGGATGGCAATTGGGGGCGACAGAGATGAAATTGAAGGCCTTTCATCTGATGAAGAAAACTAAGTTATTTGTACTGGGGTTTGACTAGCCAAGATGCTATAACTCCCTTTTTCTGAGTTAAGATGATACTTTGCTACTCAACCCAGTTATATTTTGCTGAGATTCCCATCATGTTGGCCACTAGACTTGTTTATAGTGCTCCTATAATTTTCATTTCTAATACGGGCTTAGGGAGACATTGTTTCTCCCTTAGTATGTTGTAAGAGAGTAATGACTATTGTGACAATAAGGGGTTGTGAGAACTTTGCAAATATACTTTTGTTCTCAGAATGGGGAATGGAATGAGGTTCAGAAGTCTGTAATTTATCCAAGTTAAAGAAGAAGAAAATTGTCAAGCCATTTCTGGTCAACCTTTTAAATAGACTCTGCATTCAAGTTTGATTCTTGATCATCTGACGCTTGTGCCGCTGTTTGAAACTGTGTGCTCTGGATTTTTTGTTTATGCCAGTGCTTTATTGCTTTCAAAGAGCATGCTGCTCTGAGCTGTGATGCTTTGGAGGGAAAGGCGACAACAGCAGGTTGTGTTTGTACTATAATATAGGTGGGGCCAGAGATACTTAACCCTTGGTTAGACTCTAGAATATGCTTCTGGCTGTTCATTTGAACACTTACTAGCTCATGTTAAGAAGTTCAAAAAGCCAGTGTGCATTTTCAGGCTACAATAAATGAGGCAAAGTTGTCCTACTTTGTTAGTGATAAAGCAAACACTTCCACTGAGTTTTTATGTGTGCATTTAAGAGAGAGACCAAGAACTTTATGGGCTTCCTGTGTGGACCAGAGAAGCAGGATGTGAGCACATCCTGAGATTTTTATGTTTGCATTATTGGGAAGAAACTCAGAGGTCAAGTTCTCCCCTGCTACTAGAGATACATGTTGTCACAAGTCATACCCCAAACACAGGACAGGTTTCGCCCTTTTGTTTTGTTTTTGGTTTTGGAAACCAAACAGCTTACTGTCAAAATAGAGTCACAAAGGGCTGGGGGAGGTGGGAAACATTAGGCAGTAAATTCCAGGGCAACCTGGTTTACTCCCAGGACTGCAGCCACCAGGAACACCTTTCTTCTTTATCCAGGTAGAAGGAATATCCCCAAAGGAAGAGTGGAAAGCCTGTTTTCTGTCTTTTGTAGATACTTTTTAAAAACCAGTGTCATTATCTTTCACTGTGATGTGAGTTCCAAGGTCCTAAACCAGCTCCAGGACAGTGTGGAGGAGATGGCACATGCGAAAAGAGCTGGTGCTCACCCTGAACGAGCTGTGAACCCATTCACTCTGTGTGGTTAAGTCACAAGAAGGAACACATTTGCTGTGTCTTGGAGCGCTGTCTTACAAGCACCGTGGACTTGCAGTAGGTGGTAGAGGAATGGCATGCTGCAGCGCCCAGCCTGAGAGCCACCCTAAGTCTGGGTGACTGGAGCATTTCCAGGCTTTTGCTTTTACTCTCTTTAAGACTGTAGTTTACTACCACTGCCATCAGTGTTTCTTTGTGGTGACTATTAGCCATTGTTTGGGAATGTAAGGACAGTTGGTGCTGGGGTGGCAGGATGAAAGACCGAAGAGCCACATGGGTTAGGGAAACAGATGACAAAAGCTGTGAACTTGAAATTGTGGATTAAAGCAAAGCCAGGGGATTAAAATGTGTTTTCTTTTTCAAGTCTGCTAATGTGTATTATTATGGTTCTGGTGTGTTGTTTGTTTTGGTTTTTTCTTAGTGTGGGTATAGTGAGGGAAACTTCAGTATTCTTCACAGAATTAGGCATAAATCCTGAATCTCTGAGTTTGTCAGATTCACTGTTTTGGACTCCACTATAGATAGATACCATGTATAATATTACACATACCATGTATGTAACAACCACCACCATGGATATATATTAATCTGTTTTCTCAAAGCCTCAGGGATCACAGGAGATCAGTTACTTCTAGGGCAAAGGAGGGATACAGGTATTGATGGTATCTCTTGGTATCTCTAATGGCCCATGTTAAGAAGCTAACTAGGAACTAACACTACAATATGTACAGTCTCTGAGCTGACGTGTGTACACCCCACAAGCTGTTATGGACCTTCTAACCAGGATTTAAAATGAGAGACTCAGGATTGGTTTGGGTTGTTTGGTTTTTTCTTTAACATTTGTCAGTTTGCTTTACCCCATGTCTGTACATAGTAGGCCCATCGTTTGGCTGTGCAGTGTGGTTCACAGCTGGTAGTTTGATGAAAATGATCACAGAGTTTGAGGGTTGTTAAGGATTGATTGGGGGGTAGGGAGTGACAAGAATAAACTTTTCACTTCTTCTGAGAAAATCATGTGTTATGTAATAATTTTAGAATGATGAAGACATAGATATTTTTACAATTTTAAAATATGCTCTCCTGCCAGAGTATGAGAAGATTGACAGAACCAGTTTGTTTGCTCGCTATTTATAGCACTTGGCCATACTGGATTCAGAGAAGCAAGAGATCCAGGGAAGCTCGACTTAGATGGCTGAGTAATACGGGATGTGGTTCAAGGACTATAGAGCATGTCAGGCCAGTCTTGCAAACCACTTACAAGATGTGAAAGGTGATATATGGCCCACTTCATGTTCCCACTGTTGAGAGGTGTGGACAGACATTTTTGGCATTTGTCACATTCCCTCCCCTTGGGCCAAAGTCTTGACAATAGCCATTGAGGAAGCACATGGAGTGCCCCCAGCCCTGCCTTGGCCTGCCATGGGAAAACAGTCTTACAAGAATCACTTTCTAAGGGTAAGATGAGAGCCCCGTGAACTATTCTGAGCTTGAGTGTTTGCTGATGCAGAGCTAATTTTAGCAGGCATGTGTCTAATGTGGTCAGGGGTTCTGATTCATTGAACGTCCTGATTGATAGAGACAGTGTTCCAGTGAACGCTCTCATGGTTTAAATTTTCCCTCCACCCTGGTCCCCACCCCCAGATTTTTAAGACAAGACAGTTCAGCATTTTACCATTAAAGATCAAACCTTAGAGCTGGAGAACAAAGCAATCTTGTTAAGTGTACTGAGCCTAGTACTGCTCTAGGATGAGAACAGATACCACACCCCTAGCATCAACTTCCCGTTATTTGTATGCTGTAGAAAAGTAGAATGCTGAATATGCAGGGGAAAATCCCGTTTGGATATGGATTCTCCTGAGGTTTTAGTTTAGGATTCTTCCTTGCACCTTTGGCTTGTGAGCCTTTGCAGAAGGGGGCTCAGATTCTTAATGCTTCACATTCTGGGCATTACACAAACCCATTACTAGTATCACAAATCTTGTTCCTAACTTAGTTATCTTTTACTTAAGCTTATCTGTACTGCAGTTAATTGCCTATATAAAGCTCCCTACCACATAAAGTATTTTGCTCAATTCAGAGGAATTTCTCTGATTTGTGGAATGGAGAATTAACAAATGATGATAGCAGAATGGGGGCTTCTTGCTTGAGCTCTTAATGATTTATAGTCTGCTTTAAAAAATACTAATTGAAAACCTGGCTGTGCCTAGTGGCAGGAAACTGCACTGCAGTCCCAGAGGTGTGCGGTTCAAATCCACCAGATGCTCTGCTGAAGGAGGAACAATCGCCTCCTGTACCAGTCAGATCCAATTTGACAGTACACGCATTAAAGAAATAAATAAATATTTAAAAAAAAAAAACAACCTGTCCGTAAGGATTATTACTGCATCTTGCATCTTTCGAACACAGACTTATTGAAGGTGGAAGGGGAGGAAGAGGGAGAGACATCTATTCTAAAACACTTGTTTGTGCACACATTGTCTGTTAATAGGCCCAAACCCACCCTCCCTATGATTGTAAAACTTGGTAACATAAACAGGCCACATAAAGCCATTCGTATCTACCAGTCTGGCCAGGAAGCCTCCCGGTTTTTAGCCTATAAAATAACCACCATTGCCTCTGCTTTTTCTCTCTTATCAACCCGCTGCCTTGTTGCCGTAAAAATCGGGACTGTGTGAGGCCTCGGGTAGGAACTTACGGAAAGGGCTTAGCAAAGGGGATTCAATCTAAAGCCTAAGGACTCCCCCCCCCCTCGGAAATTCTGAGCAAGTCTTTAAAAAGATAGTAAAGTTAAAGGGCCTGGCGATCTACTCAGGGTGGGGTGGCAAAACTAAGAGCGAGCCACTGAAAACCCTGTGAGAACAGCTTTAGTCTGACACACGTTGGGGTGTTATGAGTTGGAGTCGGCTCCATGGCAGCTGGTTCAGGCTTTGTTGTTAGGTGCCTTCAAGTTGACTCCGACTCAGAGAGAGGTTTATGGTCAGGAGGTCTCAAATGTAGCTGAAGAAAATCAAAACAACTGTAACTTGTTCTTTCTATCTTGTTAAGAGTTGAAACAAAGCATCAGGATTCAGCCAACAGTGACCATGAACATTCTTGAAACCAAACTCTCTTACGAGTGGAAGAAGATAGAAACCCAAGGAAGGAAGTGGTTTCTCTTTCCAGGAGCTCATGACCTACCCAGCTCAGGTGGGAGGAGGAAGTCAGCACGACAAAGTCACAAAAGAACGTGTCAAAGCAGCCCAAGAAGTGCTGGGAGCAGCCATGGCTGCCGTGGGGCAGAGTGAACAGTGGGCTGGGGACACCACATGGTGCCCCTTCGAGCACTGACTCTCAAACGTGGACACACATCACAAACACCTGGAACCACCCACACGTCTTCTGTAGGGCCTCGGAGTTTGAATCTTCTATCCCAGCTGATGCCTCTAGTCTTGGAGTCACACTTGGAGTGTGACTTGGACCATTGACTTGGAGAAAGTGATGCTTGAGTTCAGCCTAAGACAGGAGTATGGACTGGTGGGTGGAGGGAGCAAAATTCTTAAAAAAAGTTATGACATAACAAAAGTATGGAGACTCATGTACACTGGAGTATTGTTTCACCATAAAAAGTGAAATTCTAAAACATGGCATGGCTGAAAACTAAAGTGAAATAAGCTAGACCCAAAAGAATGTTACTCCATTTGTAGGAATATATTGTTATTGTTGTCAGGTGCCATTAAGTCAAGTAGGACATATAGTGACCCCGGAAACAGATCTAAAACCTTTCTTGTGCTATCCTTATCATCTCTGACACTCTTGTGATCACTGTCACATTAAGGGTCTTCCTCCCTCTCTCTAATGCGCC